CTCTGATAGTAACAATGCTGCATTGCAAAAATTCACTTAATAATCCAGGAAGATAAACGAGGAATATGGATGGAAAAGAGATCGCCCGATAGGCTCTACCTAAAAACATGATTTGGAGAGGCGTGATCACTCAAATTTACCACTCCATTCCCAAAAGATATATTTATTAAATATGTAAGAGTTGATTATAGAGAATACATATTTAAAGTGGTGTGCCTTGCGACACTCGCCCCATTGAAGATTTTGTTATGCGTTGTGCGTTATGCACATACGGTCAGGAAGTTTGGTCACCTACATATATAATAATAATGGTGGTACTAAAAAAGTGCTTTCATTATTGAGTCATGGTTTATCTGCTTCAACATGTAATGCGAAGAAAACAGATACTACAATGTTAACCTCTAAGAGTAATTGTTTAGTATATAAAAAATTGATGTAATCTCATGACATTTGGAATAGCGTCATTTCGTTAAACTTTCCAAGCTCAAGAACTAAGTAAAATACAAGGGCAGTTTCATATGCGAGACATATGCATACAAAATGTTTGCATAATGTCTATTGCAGTAGTTCGGAATGCATTTCGCAGGAAAGATTGGAGAATTCACATTTAAAAATATTCTTTAAAAAGGTATTCATGATTAAACGTTTTATTCAATAAAGGAATACATTACTTCTGCTGCAGTAACATTCCTCCCAGAGTGTGGAGGAGATTGCAGTGAAGAATGGAATAGAGGAGTTCTCCTTTTCGCTCAAGATTCCAACAATTCCATCCTGATTCATCCCGTTGTGCCCTGGTTTAGTAAGTTACAACTCTTCTTTCCTCGTGCAAGAAAAAGGTTTTGTGGTACTCCTCAAAAATATATAAAATGATTAATATTAGCCAATACCCCCGAGGCATTCCAGCTCAAGTGGTGAAATTTTAGTCACTTTCGTTGGGCCTCAGAATCCGATTTGCTTGAACAATTTGGGTATGTTGACATCGAAGACCTATATAAACATTTCAAATTTTAGCTCTCTGGCTTTAATGGTTTTCGAAATATGCAGCCCTAAACTTAGCCCCCAATGGGAAAAGTGACATTTGGGGTAAAAACGCTATCTTTGGTCCCAATCGAGCTGGAAAAGCGTATTTGGACTCTAATTAAAGCTATGACAATGCAGGATCGTATTATGAATTCCCTTTTCTACTACGTTTATCTCCAAGTGAGTTACTCATTTCAAAAATTGCAAATATTCCCGAACTTTGCAGGTAAATTTTGAGCACTCGGATGTATAGCAACACAACGAGCTTTTGCAACGTTGTAGACTAAAGCAATACCAATTCAATAACTAAATTTCAACTTCCTACGCTGCTAGAAACAACATACAATTAAATTTGAAAAGTCCAATTTAGCCCATTATCACCCACTTTGGCTTTCACCCGCACCTCGTTTCAAACGCGATAGAAACTTGAAACTAATGTGCACTAAAAGCTGAATCTACGTTCTTTCCAATGATATATTATTCACGATGTTAAATTCAATATTCTCGTCTGTGCAATTTTTTGAACGATTGACCTTGTCAGTTTGCCTCTTGAAATGTTTTACCCTAAGTACTACCTTTGGGAATCCTGGTGAAACGACCAGGTCTGGGTATATCTCACCAGTGACTTATAAATAGCTGTGATAATATTTTCTACCTGTTCCAAGCTTTAAAAAATAAGATTTGAAGCTTTGTGCATTTGCTGCAACTGCAATTGTGCTGACCTTAACGCTTCTTTTGCATGTCAGACTAAGCAGACTTCAGAATGGTTCCTTCCATGTGTCCAGTGATTGCCACAGTCAGCAACATATTATTCATTCAGAGAAAATAAATAGGATATTTTTAACTTTAGGTTCGGAGAAACCAAGAATGAATTAAACAACCTTTACCTTCATCATGAACAAGTTTGGTCAGTGCGATATACTCTTCTCAAGGGAGGGAAGAACTGCTGTGAACCCTTCAACAGTCACAGGAAGACGGTGAAAGGAGGTCGAGTTATCTCTAATATCGCCAAAAAAAATCCTTCTCTTCATCTGATTCCCGGATGGAAACTTGGTGCAAAGTGCTTAATGAAGATGTATAAGTTTGTCTCTTAGCAGAGACCAGACATTTTTGGAGCACCCGTCGACAAATAGGAAAAGCCCTACAAGTGTCAAATAATTGGAATTTTCGGCAAACCTTCAACGAGGAAGGGTAAGCCTATGACTGAAAAAAATAGTTAATCTTGTGCAGCAATTTTACTTAGAAGACAACTTACTTAGAATTTTCGCGAGAGCAAAAGGATGGAGTATCGGTGGAGCTCTCCACATGGTGGAGCTCTGCTGCTGTATTGCTATGGGCTCTGCTAAGAGACAAACTTGGACATCATTATGAAGCATATTGCATCAAGTTTCCATCCGGGAAGCAGAGAAAGAGAAATATTTTTTTAGTACTTGAATTGGCATTGTTTAAGTCTACAAGGTTGCAAAAGCTCGTTTTCTTGCCATGCATCCTAGTGCTCAATATTTGCCTGCAAAATTCGGGAATATTTGCACTTTTTGAATTTGTGTAACTCAATTGGAGATAAACGTAGTAGAAGAGGGATTTCACAATGCAATTCTGCATTGTCTCAGCTTTAATTAGAATCCAAATACGCTTTTCTAGCTTGATTGGGACCAAAGATAGCGTTTTTATCCCAAATGTCACATTTCCCCTTGGGGTCTAAGTTTAGGGTTGCAGATCTCGAAAACCATTAACCCTTTCAGGACCAAGGGACGTATTTGTCCCATATTTTCAAAATCCTCCCAAATTTGAATGAATTAGTCTAAGGCGATGCTTTTTGCGAATAAGGAATCAGTATGTCATGGACTTTCAAAATTATGTGTTTATTATTTTTCGAAAAAAATGTATTTTTTTGTTGTGGGACATATTTGTCCCACGCTATATCTCGAGAACTATGGGAGATATAGCCTCCAAACAATGTTTTTTGGAATCTACACATCATTTTCACCCTAAACACGTAATTAAAGTTAAGGTCGCTGTCCCACAATGCTTATGGTCCTGAAAGGGTTAAAGCCTGAGAGCTAAAATTTGAAATGCCTTCATAAATCTTCGATGGCAATATACCCGCATTTTTTCAAGCAAATCGGATTCTTAAGCGCAACCACCCCTTGACCACTTAAGCTAGAATGCCTCCCCTCAGGAAGTTATTTTGCTCCCGATTCGACTTATTTTTCCAGTAATCGATCATGCCAAGGAATAATATATGTATTACATGAATCTGACTGGTAGGAAGGTATAACCAGAGAATAGAGGATGAAAAGAAAAAAATTCATAAATAACAAATAACCTTAGACATCATGGGCGGATTGCATGAAACTGACTTACCCTAATGCCAGCTTTAAACCTTAATCAGCGGTGGAGTTAAAGCTACGTTAGCGGAGATTTTAGTGTGGTTTGCATACAAAGAAAATAGCTAACGCGGAATTAAATTCCGCATTAGTTTAATGTTAGTTTAAAGCTATGATGACGCCACTTTAAACCGCCTTTTGCACCGAGGAGGAACGTACCGCTAACTTGATACACTTCCTGACTGCTTCACGGATGTCCACAGATGATAATTTTCATTTAAAAAAAAAATATTTTATTTTTCCGTGCCTGTAAGGAAAGAAGAGTGAATTAGCAGTGAATTCTGTCGATGGTCGCCAAACTCAACTGAAGCACTTGTCGCCCAGGAACTTATATTCCATGATCAACTGGGAGCAGTACTCTCCCGAAGAGGAATTGCGGTGGTGTTGGTTCACACCTCAGTGCATCCTCATTATCGTTGACAATATTTCAATCCAATCTGCAGCGTTTTTTTGGAAACGTATTCCTTTTTTAATTGTACGAGGTAATAACGTTTGTCATTTTTGGAAAAGAACAATAATTTTTGTGCGGAAAGAAAGAGAATTCGGTGGGATTTTATGATTTGATTGATATATTTGCTTGCTGTAGCCCTCCATGGTGCCAACGTGTGGGTGAAATTTACTGGATCCGTCTAAGCTAACCTAATCTGATGTCACGATGGTCCTTAATGGGAATCAGTTTCACAGAGACAAACGTATTCCCGTAGACGCCCATTATGAAAACAATTTAATTTAAAGTTGAACGAATCTGGTGCATGTCACTCTACTGATGAATCTTCGACACCGTGCGCAAGTAGCTGCGCAGTATGAGGGGTGGAGGCGGAGAAAATGGGAAGCTACATCCAAGACATTCTCCTTCAATCACCACCTCGAGACCATGACGGAGGACCGTACTTCCAGTCCAAAAATGACAAACGTTATCACAATTTAAGTAGATAAATACTTTCTACTCACCCTGTAGAGTGTACGAGGTATAACGAAGAGGAACTACGCGATACCGCTACTACTGCAGATCTGCTGCGCTCTTCAGTTCTATGGGCGCGGGGGTCTTTTCGTGTCGTGATCTCCTATACACTTAATATCGACACCTCCACTGCGTGTCGCATCGTTCGAGTAGTGTAGTCGACCCGAACGCGCCGCGTCTGCAACACTAGCCGTTCCACTTTGGAACGTTCGCACCAACTCGTAAACATTGCTTCTTTCAATACAATTTTCGTGAACTGCCCTTAGTCGGCGAAAAATTGAATTGCCATTCACACCATCTTCCACCAAAAAACGGATCACAAAAGGCGACTCTTCCTTGGTGCAGTCAATACCCCAAGTTGCCATTTTTTGTAACTGTAGGACGCACACGAGACAGCAGCAAAACCAAAGACTATCGTTTTCATGGCACTGATATTCTAACAAACAGTACTACGTGTGCTTCTAGTTATATATTCCATCTAGTTATATGGAACTTTCGGGGTCGAATGAGCCCCACGCGAAATTGAAAACGTTCGAAAACGGAAACGAACCGATAGAGGGCAGGACTAACGGAGGACTAAAAGTAAAGACAGAGAAATTAGGTAAATGACTGGAAGACTGCCAAAACTGAACATGGAGAGTATACTGAGAGGAATAAAGGTAATTTGAAGTGTGGGTGATTCATTTCCCATTCCGTCATCACTAAGCATTAATTCCCTTTTTCGTTCTGCTTTTAGACAAGGTGTATGCAGCTTGGATGTCAGTGGAGAACTTGCCTGCCGTGTACAAGGGGGACGGAGTCCCCTCCTCCCTAAAAAGAATATCCTTCCAAGGGGAGGTGGGCGTGCATTGGAAGTTCCACACAGTGCCGCTGATGTGGGCTCTAGATAGGCACGTAGCAGGAGTGAAGCCCCTCAGCTCAAGTAAGGAAGTAATTGCCTCTCTTTCTGCCTCTTTTATTCCCTTCGCTTCTCTTTCTCCAATACTTTTCAAAAGTCACGTTCCTCAGTGATGCCCAGTGAGCTGCAGGCTAGGAATACATAATGAATGACGTTATTAGCGAGATATGGTAAGCATATGGTGGATCACCAAATATGAAACGGTTCAAGGGGGCTTCTGAAGCCACTTAATTTTGCAAATGACATGAAGTGTGATTTTGGTGAAGATGGAAGGAGGTTGGTGCCAGAAATTATTCTTTCTAAGGGGCAATTTCAGACTACATGGAAAAGCCTATAGTCTTACCATAATAAAAGTCCATAGACCAATTCGAGTCACTTTGGAGCATGTGAGTCTTTTAGTATTTTAAAGCAAGTGTTTCTCGGAATTTCATTATGTCAACTTAACTGTCACTTGGAACCAGCAATTGTTAGGTTCATTTTCATACGAGTCCTATTCACTGAACATATGTGAAAGAAACGTTTCCAAGATAAGACGGCGTTTCAAACGCATTTCAAACAGGAGAAAGTGTAAATTTTCCTATTTACGGCTTAATGCTTTCACGTCTCTCTTCAACTATAGTTGAACTACAGGAGCACAGGAGTCGTCAGCGTTGGTGAGAAGGACAACGCCTCCCACCAAGATGTTTCCATTTAAAACTGCAATATTGCTGCTAGCTGGCACAACATTTATGTGAATAGCTTCATGTACTGTTGTGTCCGACTCTTCAGTAGTCTAACGTATACACAGAGTTATTGCGGAACCGTATCCACCTTGCCAATCGATACATTTCTGCTGTTTTACTCATTTCCTCGATTCTCCTCGGAAAGAAAGGAGATATAAGGTTTTTTTTGGAATTCATTGGAATCGAAAGGGAAGTAGTGAAAATGTAGTTCATTATTTCAATTACGTTCCTCCCTGAAGAGTACAGAAGACAAGGTGAGGATGCTGCTCGTCGCCTGTATATATTCTCAACTTATCGTCTGTTTCTTCCTCATTTCTTTAATTCCCTTCTTTTTCTGGGTCTACTTCCTTTTTGCCGAAACTTTCGGATTTTCCTTCTAATAGTGCACACTATTGATATTTTTGCATTTTTTCCCCTCTGGTATCATTTCGATCACCACCATTAAATTTAGCGAGACTCTTTGGTTTCCCGCGGAGTTGTTTGAAACTCTTTCTTCAAAATTCTCGAAAGATCGGGAGTAATCCCCAATTTGTTAATTGTCGGGAAAGTGAGTATTTCTTGTTGCAAGCTTGCATGACTCCTGCTCAGATCCTGAACATATGTAAGAATAATCGTATTTAATAAATAAATTCTGCAGTTTTGCCTTACTAGCATCGTAATATTGTACTTCAATTGAAAGAGGTCGAAAGATGTGATGTCTGTTACACCTAACGCCCGAGGCCTATGATGCAATGCCATTCTGCGTCATAGGCCAGGCCACCCATGGCCGAAAAGGCACTATCATTCGGGGACTATTATGGCTACGCCATAAGAAGTTTCATATATTGATCTACTTTTAAAAGACTCACCTTTTAGATGGCAATTACTACAGGTTTTGTCAAGAGTCTTGTCTACGTTTTGAAAGGAAGTAACTTCTTAATGCTAGATTTGCTCGAGACTCGGTTAACATCAATCCAAATTGTCCTTTAAGTGTCTCTCTACTCATTAAGGATTTCAAGGCGATGTGACCAAGGAAATCTCCTGGGAGTGCATGCAAACTATGATTTAAAATTTAAAAAACTGTCAGGCCTTCGTGTAAGGCACATCATGTTACAAGAAAGTTAAAAGGCGATGGAAATTGGCTAAAGGGCAAGCCCAAGGCTATCTGGAACCTCGCTTCAGGAGTAAAATGTTCATTTGCATGAACTACAGGGTGGTCTAGGTCAAGTGTAACAAAATTTCAAATCCCCTCTTACCCCTAATACTTGACTCCTGTCGTTCAAGTGGTACTCATTGAAATCGTACATTTCTGCTGTTTAATCTAGTCTTGAATTTGACTCTATTGTATGAACATTAGCGGAGAAAATGGCGACTGAAGCCAGGCGGTCGTTAGTCGCAGAACTGCATAAACAGGACCTGAAAAGACCGGAAATTCGATAGGCGGACAAAAAGTTGAATTCCAGTCGAGGCTTCATAAAATGGATATTGGATGGATGCCTTGAGACTGGCTAAAGATATGGAGGCTGCAGGAAAGTGACGAGAATGAATAAATTGGTCTAGTAAGTCAGTCTCTGGATTTGGCGGAATCCAACCATTCCATCAGGAAGATGGTGAATGAGATGAATGTCTCGAGGTCGAGAAAGGTGACGATGGTCAAGAACGATCTAGGGTTATCCTCCTACCGGCTCCAGAAGCGACAGTTCTTCAATATAGCCACCAGGAGTAAGAGACTGGCCCGAAGTCGTCAGATGCTGGAGAAGTTCAAGAATGGTTCGGTCCCCAACACCGTCTTCTCGCACGAAAAGTTAACCTTGGTGCAGGTAGTCCGCAACAGGCAAACTGATCGGCTATTGGCACGAAGTTGAAAGCAGATATCCGACCATGTTGGAATAATGTTCCGCACCCAGAAGCCGGACTCAGTTATGGTGTGTGCGCCGCCACCAACAAGGGCCAGTCCCCCCTCGTCTTCGTTCCCGAGTGCATCAAAAATCAACAACATCTGCATAAAATCCATCCTGCAGTACGTCCTGCTCTCATGGGCTCAAGATCTATTCAGGAATGAGCCTTGGACTTTCCAGCAAGACACATCATCTCATATGGCTAATGTGATCCATGACCAGTGTCTGAAGAATCTGGCAGGGTTCTTGACCAAGGAAGGGTGGTCCCGTCGTTTGCAGATCTGAACCTTTTGACTACGCCGTATAGTCGATCTTCCTGTCCAAGGCCTGTTCCAAGTCCCACTAAAGTCTAGATCATCTCAGACAAGATTTGGTTCGTATTTAAGGCGATATTTCCAAGAAAGTTGTGGATAACAGCGTCAACAACTTCGAGAAGAGGATGATGGCCATAATCAAAGCCAAAGGTAGCCGCTTTCAGCGTAACTTACGTCGTGTCTGGTACATTATGTCAGGAACATGCTGTGCAAATTTCAAAGCAATAAAATATGCCGTTTATAAGAAAATTGGAGTTTTGTTTGTTACACTGGGCCTGGACACTATTGATGGTTTGGCATTAACGAAGCTAATAAAAATTAAGATAACGATATCCCTGATTATTGCCGTTTCGTTTCCATTCATAAACGAAAAGTTTCTAAGACAGTGGGGTTTGCCTAGGCTGCGTATTACGTCCACGAAGTAATGGCATTACGACTGCAATGCGATGAAGTAGAGCAAATAACTAATAATCTAGCCATTACCACCGTCATCGCGCAAAATTCGAGCAAGGGCAAGATGCACTCGGTCCAAATGGTGCTCGCAGCTAGAGCAGAAATCACTCGATTCCTGATTCACATCGTCGCATGCCTTTCTGAGAATATATCGTTGAATTCTCAACTTTCTCGCATTACCTCCTCCCTTCACAGAGCACAAACATATTGGAGCTTTAAAAGGAGTCTAGAGAGAATACTATCATGACCACGAAGTGGTCCTTCTTAGGATATTCAATAGCCTTCTTTTACCGGATAAGAAATCCAGTTATTAATAAGTACTTGAATGACAACACATTCATTCCGATAAAGGACAGACGTACTCGACGTCATCTCCAGATCCGTCCCCTTTCGCGGGAAAAGAGGCAGAGTCTCGATTGGCACGCTCAGTCTCTCTCGAAAGATAAAGAATGACGTCAGTCAGTGTAACTGCCCTGTGGTGAGGTAAGCAATTTCTTCATTTTGATTCGGCCAGAAGTTCCTGGAGTCTCCTTCAACTTGTAAATTCTCACATGGAAAATTTATTATGCTTTACCTCAAGTTGTACGTGGAAAAGATCGGGTTCTGTGGGCCTTTCATACAGTGGAATCATTCCAATGACAGTCGTGGGAGAATCGCTAAATCGGCGGTTAGGCGCTATTTCATGTCGATTGGTGTATAGCTTTACTCGATTGGAAAAATATTGTGTTTCAACATGGATTACTCCATGTTGAAACACCTTTAAGACATTGATGATGGCAAATGTGAGTGAACCTCTAAAACCAACCCATTGTTATGAGGTACATGCGAAATATAATGGTACATTGAAGCACCTTTCAAAAGAGGATCAGCAGTTGAAAAAAAGGCAAGAGAACTTCATTGAGGACAAGACCAGTCAACATCCTGAATCAATCATCTGTTGTGAAAAGCATGTTTGCAACATCTTTGGCTTTAGTAGCATTATACGTGCAGCTGCCCCCTCCCCCAATTTTTGCGGTTTAATTAAAAATGGCTGGGTGCTTCTAACCGGGAACAACAGCACGGCGAGATCAGAATAGCCATCACCTTTTTGTTTTCATCTCACTGCGAGTTGAGATTCGCGAGGTTTCGAAGGAGTCGTTGCGCCCATAATCCCATAATCCGTAAGGTTTTATCGTTCGATCAGATTAGCCTGGATGCGGTCAAGTCATATTCTCGGTCTGTAGTCTGGTGTATTGTGACGCACCAGACACCAAAATAAAATCGACTTCATGGCACGTGACTATCAAAATAGATTTACGGCGATGACGGAAAGAAGTCATTGAAAATATTGATGGAGCGGAGGAGAAACGAAAACCTCGGATGTAACCCTTCTTCCCTCATCCCGAGAAGGGAGGAAGGGTTCATTTAACACATATGATGGAGTGCCATCCACAGAGATGCTCGATCTTTGCCCTTTCTCACTTGATTCATCATTCTGAATTCTGGAAGCAAACCAAGGGAGCCCGAGAGCTGTTTGCGATGCCGCAGTGCTACGCGTCTGACATAAAAAGACTACGAGAAATTGGGTTTTTTTGCCGTTAATGTACCTCGCATGTACAGGAATTATACCAAAGTTAGGATGTTTGCATTACATGCCTGCTCAATTTTGACCCTTATACAAACGATTTGCTTAAACAAGAAAAGCAAGCCTTATTTACTTGCAGACAATTCCTGACAATTGTCCCTAACTTGGGTTTCACCAAATGTCGCCAAGTATAACAAATGACATGTCTTCTCCGCCATCAGAGAAGTAAGATGCAACCTGGACCTAAACTTCGGTCACTTTTGCCATGAGAGACAGACAGAAAGGGAAGAACACATGTTGTTGGGGATAGGGAATGGTGGAAGATTGGTACAGTGAAACTCTGGCCGCAGTCAATGATTGCTACATTTACATGCGGCTATGAACTCATATCAGGCAAAGGAATTAAAAATATTAGTCCGCTAGGCAAACTGAAACATTCACTGCTAAATTATATCTCTTAAGGGTCTATTTGAATCAATACTGAGCTAATTGTCCCTTTATGCATGCTAATTGCTAAAGCGTTAGGCGATGCTCCGTTTTGACATCCGTGCTGGCTGATAATGGCAGAAATCAAGGTTTTGGTCTGTCGTGACAAGTAGTTCATGAAAATACTCCACTGTTATTTCCATTTATTAGAAATGTGCAAAGGACTGTAAACTGGACTATCATCAAGGGAAATGACATGGTCCAAAAAATGTCCACCCAATGAAGGCGCTTTCCGGAACCGAAATGATCAATATAGAATTTGTCCATTTTGGGAAACCTCTTCTCTAAGGTAAACAAGTGAGGTAGAAGGAGGATTGAGAAGTCAATTCCGAGCTGATCAGGGACTCGGCCCTACCTCTTCCTGATCTTCCCTCCCCCAAAATAATTATATTTTTTCCTCGTGAACTAAAGATTTGAAGTGTTCCTCTAGTCCCCTAGTATAACCTAAACTCCGATTATGAGACGACTTCTGAGAACAGCAAACGTGTATTTCTTTTCGAGTTTCTCGCGAGTGCTGAAGGCCCACGAGTATGGAAGTCAATGTAAATAGGTAGCACCCATAGATCAGGAATTCAAACGTATGTTTGAGAAAAAATGAAGGTAACGCTATGTTGGAGGTTATAAAATGCATATATTGAGTCATTTTCCGGCATCGTTAATTTCAAGTCGACACCCACGTAGCTGTTTTTTTTTCCCATCTGGTGTTCCATGAGTTCCAATATACATCAAAGATATACATAAAAAAAAACTGGCATTTCCATGCGATAACTAAACGGACGATTTTCGGGTTTCGTGCTTTTTAGCGCTGGTCACAAAAACGGACCCGCATGATTAATAACTTACTCATCAAATTTTTTGAAGCATTTCACTGCTCACAAATAATGAGGATTTTGATACTAGTTAAATTAGGCTAAAAAAGTTTCTAAGCTTAGAACTTCTCATAATCGAGGGTCCTACGATGAAAATCGGACTATTCCATTGAAGGATTTGATAATAAAATATTATTAATTAGTTCAATGAAAAAACTAAAAGGAAGCGGCGCGCATTTTCCCAAATGTTGTTTTACATGGGATACAACAAGTATCCAGCAAAATGCGTGTAAAGATGGAATAATTATATCTTTACTATACATCATTTCGCATTATTGTCATTAGAAAACATAGCACCCACATCCTCTCCATTTTTTTCGCAAGAAGAGATTAAGATTACCAAAGTCTACAATACAATGAAAATGAAAAGCATATATGCCGTCCAAGGGTGCCGTAAAATTACACTTTCATAATTAATTTATGTTGACGCCGATGTTGACAACGACACCGGTGTAGTGAAGTACACTACCATTACTTCCCACACTTCCAAAGGCATCGAAGTAAATGCCTTCTCCTAAAGTGCGAGCACTTGTCTCTTTACAACATCCGGCGACCTTTCTTGGAGTTGATCAAGTAATAACCAGGATGAGTGTTTCCAGCTTGACGAAGAGATAAACAGGATTCTTCTGGATTCTCCGGGGGAGTAGCCTTGCCCTTGCAAGACAATCCACCCAATGTGTAGAAGGCCTCTTCGGCAAGGCGGGAGTGGTTTTTCATCCCGATAGGATGAATCATGATTTCCGTGAAATAATATCGTAACTATTTTTTCATCGGATCCCGTCGAAATACAAACCATTCCCGTAATGGAACAGAAAATATTTGGAAGACTCTCAATGCACTGGAAATTTTATTCGGAAATGTTCTTTGAAAAATCCATTTTTTCTTATAATACATTGTCTCACCCGCTATGGAGGAAAACTTTCTGGTGTGAACGAAGACTTAACTTCCGCCAAAAAGTGTATATTTCCCAGCAACCGATCAAAGTGCAGATGGTACTCGAACAAAGATACACCTCACGTCTTAGAAACTTCACACCGCAGGCCATCTCTTGACTTACTCTGATGAGGAGAGTGCATATACTTTGTTTTCCTTGCATCACATGGGATATAACAAATACCCAACAAAATGACAGTACAGTGGCCTCCTGGGGTTACCGCCACATGATAATGTTCCATTCCACAAGAAGACATCAACGGTTTCCCCATTCATCATATGAAGTAGAATGGACTGGCCTGGCATCTGGTCGTGATCATAAAATTTCCCATCAGAATGGTCCTGAGACGCTATAAGTCCTTCTGTGATTCCATTTTTCCTGATTCCCAGTCTCAGATGAGTCTGATACATCCAAGTATGAAAATGGAAAGCATAAATGCCATCGAGAGGTGCCGTGAAAATTCCTTTTTCAGGATCCATGGCTCCGCCGATGTTGACTTCAGTCCCGTTGAATTGAATAACACTGTTTTCACTTCCAAAAGGTCCAAAAACATCAAAACAGATACCTTGCTATGCAATACGGGCATTGGTCACCACCTGAAACTTCGGGTTGGTCCCCTCCAAATCCATCCTACACATAACAATATCCAGGCGACCTTTCTTGGAGTTGATCAAGTAATAACGAGGA